TAGACAGTTAGAATTATTTTCAATTCGAAGCATTAAACGCAAGAAGCACAAGCAATATCCCAAGATTTTTCCCTGGGTAAGTAATGCGTATCTGATGTATGAACGGAAAAACAACGGTTAGAAGGGCAAAACACTAACAAGGGCAACATACCAATACCAACATTTGGTTAAGAGTTCGGTGAGATCGAAGTGAAAAAAAGTATGAAGGAGAAGGATCTCTTGAGTGCCATCCAAGGATGGAAAATAAGAATGATTAAATCAAAGGCTTTTGAAATTCGGCAGTGGAAACTTCAAGTTAGCATCTTAATGCGGAGCAAAAATTAGGTTTGGGCGCGGCTGTGACTGAAACAAAAAGTTGTAGCCGCTGAGCTAAGTCACAGATACCTAGCGCGGATGTATAAACTATCTGGTAAAATAAAGGATTAGCTACCCGTCCAAAAACGCTAGTACTGGCTTGGGTATGTTTACGAGGCATTATCAGTGTCCGAGGCAAAAACACATTCATGTCATTTTTGCAAATCTTAGGATCAACCTTGCTACAGTGCTAGGCGAACTTTTTTGTCCCCAATAGGCAAAAAGTAGCACTTACCATACTCCTTTGAAATGGCCCGGACGCCATGAAAGAATCCCCGATAATGTGGATTAGCGGAAACCTGGTCGTTAATGAATTTGACCTTGACAGTCTCCATTGGTGTGACCACCAGAATTGCCTCACAGACACCGGCACCTAGGCGAAAAGGAATATAAAGTATGGCCTAATAAGAATTGTGCAAATTTGGACACCGTCATCAGCTCACAACGCCGTGAAGGGTTGTTACGGCACGTGGCCCCATTTACCGTAACAGTCGACCAAAAAACCTCATACTAAGAGGGTAAAACTTTCGTTATTTTTAACCAAACGGTTGCTTTTGTTCTACTTACTAAACTTTAGAAGGAACTTCGCAAGAAACACTATAAAAGTTCTGTGAATTTCAGTCAAAACGCATCCCAGATAGCAATGAAAATGTCAAGATAAAGTGTTAATGACGATCCCTCGGTACCAGGTTAGTGATATGAGAGCCAAGGAGACTCAAGAGGGCATAGTGATCGTGGGATAGCAGAAGAAAGTATACGGAAAAATCTTTGGCTGTTGTAGACCACAAAAAGATAAAACGTTCACAAAGGTTTACAGAAAAGGAATAAATTGAGAAGTGACTGACTACCCGTTTTCTCCCCTAATCACTGACAGTTTTCTGCAAATTTCTTAAGCCCGATAAAGGTTTGAACATGCCCGATATTGTTGTTGTAGAATTTAATACTTCTCCAAGCGCGAGGTTAGCATCAGCGGAGCTGAAGAACTCGACCCATTGTCTTCTCCGGCAACGATGACTAAAGACCTAAAAACACCTTATATATCCTGACAGATTCCGTCCAGACAGGATTTAAGCCGCCCATTTAACCGCTTTCATATGGGCAGTACTAATGCAGTTTGGGCGGCAACAAGGCATGCGTTAATCACCAATGGAAGACGATCATCGAGCTTTCCTGAATAGTCAGCCACGTTCTACTGCCGCAAGGAGTGCGGGCTGCCACATGCAAATGAAGGTAGGCGTACCACATTCACCGTGTCATGACCAGGCAATAGTGGTCAAAAGCCCTCAGTTTCGTTTGCACAACATGCGCACAGCCCAGCATTAACAACAGTAAATTGTGGCTGAATAGACGGATGACCAGTGCTTGTGGAACTATGGACCGACTTAAATATCAAGACGCACACATAGACAACTTCGAGCCTGCATGTGAGGCGACAGAGCCCTCTGCGCCATTTATAAAACATGGCCTGCCCATCGATGACCAACTAATGAGTCTACATACTTAAAAAAGTAGGTGCTAGCATAATTTTTCCAATTTTACTTGGTTATGCTCGTGAAGTTACACGAATATTCCTTATGGTAGGTTATCGGAA